AAAATAAATATAAATAAAAAAAAATTTTGCACTAAAATATTAATAAAATTAAATAAAAATATTAATAAGATGATCAATTATATTATGAGTTATACAGAATTGCAGTTTTTGCAAATGAAGTAGCTCGTTCTCATCTTTGCGCATTTTAAACACATAGTGGCCGACCTTGACAGTAAGTAACATTACCGAATTGTTGTAACCATAAAGAAATACGTTTCGGGATTCGATTTTTTACTTTGTTTTTCTTTCAACCATGAGTCCCACAAATTTTCTGCATACTTGCCTTGACGATTCAATTTGTTTTTTATCTTTTATTAATGGTTTTTCACATTATGCACAAAACTTTTTTTGAGCTTTTTTTGTACCGACGTCACAGAAAACACAATTTTCGATTTTCCGAAAATGTAATTGAACAAAAAGTTAGGTTACACTAAGACAAGCTTCGACAAGCATGCGCGTAGGTGGCGCTAGTGAACTTGTCCAAAAAATCGCGATGGCCTATCTAGACAGTAGACCAACCTTGACTACATTCCCCTACCAATACTGAACCAACGTTTGAAATCAATATTTTACAAATACCAACATATAGCAAAAATTTTTCAAGAAAAAAAATAATAAATTACTAATCTAAAGAAAAAAAAATTAATTTTATTGGAACACTGTTAAAAACAGAATGTGATAAAAATCAGACAAAGATAATATTTGTCTAAGTTCGAGAATGCAAGCGTCTCTCCTTATATAGAACTGGTAACACAACTTGCTGGTGAGTGAAAGAAGCTCTGGCGCACCCTGGTGTTCGATTTTGAAATGTCCCGCGCTGCTTCAAAGTATATGCTCGAAATTACTTTAGATAAGTGCCACCAGGGTGCGCCACAATTTCTTCCTCTCACCAGCAAGTTGTGTTACCAGTTCTATATAAGAAGAGACGCTTGCATTCTCAAACGTAGACAAATATTATCTTTGTCTGATTTTTATCACATTCTGTTTTTAACAGAGTGTTCTAATTAAATTAATTATTTTTTTTCTTTAGATTAGTAATTTAATTTTTTTTTTTTTTTGAAAAATTTTTGCTATGTGTTGGTATTTGTAAAATATTGATTTCAAACGTTGGTTCAGTATTGGTAACCAATAAATAACCAAGCATTAATTTAATTTAAAGCATTAGTAATTAATGGGTCACTAATATTGGTCCAATCTTTGTTGCCAATGAATATCCAACGCTTGGAAAGTCCGGCATTTGTCTTGGCAGCCAATATTGATCCAATATTGGCTGCCAATGCTTGGCAAAGTCGTGATCATCCCAAGACTCTGGCAATAGTGGCCCAATATTGGTTGCTATTATTGCACCATTATTGGTACTGCTGGCTCCCAATATAGGACCATTATTGCGCCAATGGTTAATTTCCCATTGGGTATTAATAATAAAATTTTTTTTATTTTTTAAAAATGTATAAATATATATTTTTATTATTATTTTGATAAATAATTAAATTATAAATAATAAATAGTTAAATAATTGTTAAAATGTATATAAATATATAAAACATATATTTATAATAATTTTTCTTTAAATAAATATAATATACAGTGAATTTATTATTATAGCACTGTATATGTATATCCTTCCCATAGATCAAAAGGAAGTTTAAGTAAAATCACTTTCAAGCTTGCGTGGCTGTGCGGTTAGTGTATTCGATGACTTGCGTCCTCGAGGTCTAGGGTTCGATCCTCCGTGCGTGCGATATTTTTCCGTCTTAGTTCTTAGTGTTTAGTGTATAATTCTCAAAAATGTTACATAAAATATAAATTTAAATAATTATAAACAATAATAATAATATTAAGAAGAAAGAAGCTATCAATTATAGCTTCTTTCTTCTTAATATTTAACTGCCGAATGATAAATTCACTTTCTATAACTATAATAATAATAATTTAGTAATTAATTAAAATAAATAAGATTGTATAAATTAATGAAAAAAAAGAAAAAAATTTTTTTTAAACTTATTTCAATAAAAGCAATTTTGCTAATTATTTACATTTTTATTGATACTCATAAAAGTTTATTTACTACAGAAATATTAATAATAATTATTAGTATTCAATAAATTATTCCTTTTTCTTTAATAATCAAAAAACAAATTAATATAAGCTTCTAAAGGTAAATTTTGTTTTAGAGAACGCGTTACAGCATTTTCCAAATTTACTAAATTTTACCTGCGAATCAGTAATTAGGCGGTGTTCTGCCAGTGATATTTTAATACTGACTTAGTACTGACTGCCGGTAAAAAATCAGTACTGGACAGCGTTACCAGCCAGGGATTTCCCAGTACTGATTTAGTACTGGAGTCAGTACTGCTATACTGGCAGGCAGTACTGGGTCAGTACTATGCCAGTATTACATTTCTACTTGTGATAAATTGGTTTTAGCAACTATTTTTTTAATTTTTCAGTGAATTTTTGAATGGTTGCCACCCTTAGGTCACTTTTTTTAAAAGCAAAATTTCAGCAGGTTTTCCAAAGTCGTCTAAGTTTTATTTTTCTTAGTAAAATAAAAAAATTTGTTTGACAATAAGTTAGATAATGAGATACAGTTTCAGGGCATATATTATTAATTACACAGGACCACAAAAATATTTTTTCTTCATACCTCGGTCGAAAGTACGTATTTCCCGCTGCGATTTCGCAGCAGAAAGTTAAACATTTGTGCTTTGGCTGATTTTCATACCCAACCTCTATTACAGCGGGAGTAAAAGAATTCTCTGTCGGTAAAAACACCACTGTCGGTAAATAAGAAAATTTCGAGTTCAATGACAATTTAACGAGTAATTGTTATCGCAATATAAAATGAGAAAAAAAATTATCAAGAAAACTTTTTATACTTTATAAATTTATTATCCACAAGCTCTGAATATTGAAATGAACGAAATCTTTTGCTGATATAATTATTTTCAAAAATTATTTTAATAAACATTAAAAACAAAAATAAAATAATTAATAATTTTGTAATTTCTTTTTTAATACGTACCAAAATGATATTATAAAATTGTAATAATTTGAAGAAATAATGAAAGTGTTTTCATTAGAATGTTTAGAATTTTAGAAACATAGAATTAATTTTGTACCACCAGAAAAATTTTTTTGAAAATATAATATTAATTTATCTTTCACATTTTTTTTCGTGCCTGCCCCCGACCAGAAGCACTCGCTTCGCTCGTGCATCAAATGTCGGGGCAGGCGAATATTGTTTGCAAGAGAGAGACAGAGAAAAAACCAGAGCTTCACGAGTGTCCGCTAGAGGCGAGGAGCAAAAGTAAAAAAAGATGGCCGGCTGTCAAATGAAACTCGATTGCAATTTTCTTAAAAAATAAATTACCCAGCGTACTTTCGACCGCATATAAAGAAAAATAGTATACATTACACGGGCAGAAATTCGAAAGCCCTAAACTACGCGATAATGCCCTCGGCTTCGCCTCGGGCATCATTTCGCGCAGTGCAGGAATTTCGAACTTTCTGCCCTTATAATGTAATATACTATTAAAGGAAGTATTGACCAAACCATGTTTTATATGTTTTTTGGGTCGCTGAATTCAAATCCGAACTCAGTTTTCTGCCATCACGTCAAGTTTTTTCAAAATGGCGAATCTAATATGGCTAACAAACTTTCAAAAAATTTATCAGATTTTGAATTTTTGAAAACTAAGGTGAAATTCGTATTAGGCGACCCCAGAACCCCCCGAGTATAACGTTTTAGGTAAATCCAATAAATTTTTTAAAAATTGGTCAGCCATATTGGATCCGCCATCTTAAATTTTATAAATATTTTCAAGTTTCTTTGATTGTTTAACATTCTATAAAATTTTTTCAGTGTGTTCAAGTTGCTTTTTAATAGATTCTTATGCTTATTTTTATTTATATCTTGTTTACAGGCAGTTTTTGCGAATTTTATTAATTTGTGAAGAAACTTGACGTGATGGCGGAAAACTGAGTTCGGATTCGAATTCAGTGACCCAAAAAACATATAAAAAACATGGTCCGGTCAACACTTCCTTTAAAAATATTTTGTGGTCCTGTGTTATGTTATATAATATACCGTTTAGGAATTACAGTCGTTAAAAAGGTGGGTGGCCACCTTGGGACCCCTTTCCCTATTATTATTTTTTAATTACAACATTTTTTTTAGTTCTTCGAAACAATTCAATTATTTTCATTAATAATAAAATTTCTTGGAGAAATTTCCATTTCTTTGAAAGAATTAAATTATTTTTAATGCAATTTCAATCAAATTTTCAAATTCATCGAAAGTATAAAATTATTTTCAAAAACTTTATTAAAATTATTCGAAGCAATTTAATTATTTTTGAAAATTTTTCGTAGAAATTCAATTATTTCTCAAAATTTTTTAATTTTTCAGATTTGTGAATTATAATTCTTAATCAACTTGATGATTTTTAAAACTAATCTCTAAAAATTCTTTTAAAAAATTCAATTTTTTTTTCGAAAAATGTTACTAGATTTTAATTATTTAAAAAATTTTCAATTATATGTAATTGAAAACTATTATCCAATGAATTTCTCAATTATATTTTTATATAATCGATTGCATTTCAAAAATTTTCAATTATGTATAATTGAAGTTTAGTTAAAAATTCTAGAAAATAATTGAACTTTGGAAGGGTTTAAAATTACATTATGTTTTTCGTTTTTTTTAAGTTTTAATTTTCGTTAATTTGTAAAAAAATTACAAATAGCTCTTTATTATTTATTTTCTATAATATTTATTTATTTTCTATCCAGAAATTAATTAATTTGCTGAAATAATCAATTTACTAAAATAATAATTATTAATTACTTAAATAATTAGTATTTTCACTATTATTTGCCTAAATAATAATTAAATATCATCTACTTAAATAATAATAATCACACAAACGAAGAATGCTTTTTTTTTTTATTTTCAGAGTTATATTAAAAAAAACAAGTCAAATTGGAAAAAAACTCACCGGTTCGGCGAGACGGCAATAATGTTTATTTGTTGTTTATCCGGTAATAAAATGAGTTTTTGACGCCTTTGGGAAATATTGTGAATTGATAATGCATTACCCACTGGATAAAGAATATCCCCATCAGTAATATATTGAGCATTGCCAATAATATTTGTTTTCAATCCGTAAAGTATTTTGCATTGTAATGACGATGCTGTTGTTTTTGACAATTGTCGGAATTCTTTTGACATTTTGGAAATTCTTTCTTTCAAAAAACAAAAAAAAAAATGAAACAGTATAACAATATTATTTGCGAAGATTAGATGTTTTTGACGAAAAATAAAGACGACTATAAGTGTCAGTTAACTTGTTGATACATCTCCATGACGACCGGTTTCGATTGCAAGTGAAGAAAAGTATCACAAAAATATAGATAAGTTCTTGTTTAATTTTTCAATTTTTGATTTTAATTCATCTATAACATAATGTAATTGTGAAAATAATATTATTTTTTTTAAAAATTATTTTTCTGACAACGGAAAATATTACTAATTTATTTTTAAATAGCAACTTTAAGGGTTGCTACAAAAATTTAATTTTGTTTTTCCCTGATTTCCAGACAAAATTTCGTCTTTTTCCCTGACTCTAAAGAATATTCTATTTTATTTTTATTAAATTTAATTAATTTAATTTTTAAAAAAATTAATTAATTTTTTAAATTAATTTAATTAAATTTTTTTTTATTTTTTTAAAGAATATTCTTTTTATTATAATTCACTCTAAAAATGATAAATTAAATACTCAAAAAAAAAATGTTCTATTAGGTACATTTATTTAAGAATTTCTTTAATTGTAAAATTATTCGAAAATAACAATAACTTGATTTCTTTTTTAATCATTATTATTTTTCATAGGAAAAAATATTTCAAAACTTTCAAATTCAATAACTTGAAAGAATATTATTATAAAACATAAAGTTTTATTCCTGATTTTAGTAGTTAAAGATGACCGAGTAATAAAATCATTATTTTATATTATAATATAAGAATGTGTAGTTACTGTAACTTCTTTAAAATTATTTTCATCGTTTCAATTCAATTTCTAAAAATTTAAAATAAAATTCTACTTTTAATCAAGTTTTAATAATTTTTGAAAAACTTCTTCTTTGAGAATTTTTAAATCCATTTGTTTACAATTCTATTATACGTGAAATTTTAATTATTCGGAAATTCTTTAATTAAACATACATTAAAAAATAAAAACATGGAATAATTTTAAAAAATTGCAATTAAGCTTTTTGAAAATAAAATTAGTTCCATAGAATTTTTAATTAAAAGTATGAAAAATTCAAATTTCCAAAGATTTTAATTTAAAACTTAAACAAAATTAAATGATTTCGGAAAAATCGCAATTATTAGTAACTCTTCCAAAATTCAATTATTATCTAAAACTTTCACTCAAATTCATTCATAAATCAATTATTATTAGAAAATTCTATGAGAATTCAATTATTTAATAACAAACATAGATAATTTAGTGAATAATTAAATGTTTCTTAAAATTGAATTCTCATATACATAATATATTCTATCAACAAATTTTTAAATAATTGAATTCTTTCGACAAATTTTAATACAATTTTTAAGAATAATTACCGTTTTCAAAGAATTTGATTGAAATTTTATTAAAAATAATTAAAATTCTGCAATGAGCTTTATTATTTATGAAAATAATTCAATTCCTAAAAAGAATTTTCTTATTTAAGACAATAATTGAATCCTTGTAAAAATTGTATTATTTATGAAAATAATTAAATTATTGCGAAGAAATTTTTAAAAACTGACATGGGTGAATTTCCCTTCTTACGGTTAGGGGAATTCTCGTCAAATTTGTTCACAGAAAGATGCTGTGAAACTCTTAAAAGGGCAGATTGAATTTTTAGTATTTTAAGGGTGGCCGGTTGACCCGCGAGAATTTAAGGAAAATGAAAATTAACCCTTATGGGGAACTGCATGGGGAATTAATGCAACCCTCAGTGCTGCGATGTAGGTTGAATTTTGGTTAAACAGGGGGGGGGGGGTCGAACGTGGCAGTGAGGCGGACGATGGGGACTTTGCTGCTGACATCGTGGTTAGGAGAGAATTGGCAGGCAGGCGGTGGGGGACCCAGGGCGGCTGGAGAATAGCTTCCTGCCTTTCTTCTCCTTCTGGCTGCTGGTCGAGGCTCGTATAGCATGGAAAAGGTAGGAAAATGAGTGTAAGGAGAAAAATTAAGCAGAGTTGCGTGAAATTCAAGTTAGCTTTTATTAATCTTAGCTAGAACCGGTACCTCCCCCTCCAGGCAATGAGAGGTCGGATACGGTTGTCAAAGTACATAGTTCGGTGATCCGGTTATATGTAGGCGATGAGCGATGTTACATTCGCACGAATCGTACACGCGCACCACACAGCACTTTATGTAATTAATTATCTATATTGGTGTTGCTTTACCGGTAAGTGGCCGAGAACAGGCGCCACCTACAGTGAAAATACCGTAAGGTCTCTCATTTTTCCGGATCGATCAAAAAATTAAAAGTGAGGAAAAATCCTTCACGTCAAAACATTGTAAATAATAATTGAATTTATTTTATTAAAATTTATTGTAAATAATTGTATTTTTTTAGAAAATTTTATTAAAATAGTAGATTTTGAAAATCATTGAATTGGAGAACATTTTTGAAAAAAATTAAAATCTTGCCAATTTTAAAAATAAAACCTTATTGAAAATTCAATTTATTATTTTTAAAAATTCAGGTTTAAATGTCTCTAAATATTTAATTATTATGTAAAATCTGAACTAAAAGTCATTTTTGAATCAATTTTTATTTTTTATTAAAACATTCTACCAGAATTCAATTATTTAAATACAATAATAAATAATTTATTGAATAATTAAATGTTTCTTAAAATTGAATTCTTATACATAATTTTATCAACAAATTTTTAAATAATTGAATTCTTTCGTCGAATTTTAATAACATTTTTAAAATAATTACAGTTTTTAAGGAATTCGATTGAAATTTTATTAAAAATAATTAAAATTCTCCAATGAATTTTATTATTTATGATAATAATTAAATTATTGCGAAGAATTTTATAAAAAAAGTTTCAAACAATTAGTTTTTTTCAAAAAAATGTATGCAAATTCTATTTTTAATAATTCAATTCCAGTGAAATTTTTATTTGCTTGAAAAATAATTGAATGTTCGTGTTAAATATTGTCAAAATTGTTGTTTAATAATTGAATTCTTTTGGGAAACTTTATTAAAATAGTAGAAAATTAAAAAATCATTGAATTAATAAAATTTTTTTTAAGTAATTGATATTTTGCCATGAATTTTATTAAAATTTTTGAGAATAATTGAATTTTATTACTTTTAAAAAAATTGAATTCTTGTGACGAATACTATTATTTATGAAAGTAATTGAATTTTGCAATGAATTTTTTCAAAATTCCTTAAAATAATAGAATTTTGTCGAAGAATTTTGCTATTCATTTATAAAGATAAGTAATTTAAATGTTGACAATTTTTTTTGGACTCTTTGAAAATAATTGAATTTCTGAGAAGAATTTTATTAATTTTGAAAATAATTGAATTCTTGTGATGAATATTGTTATTTATGAAAATAATTGAATTTTACAATGAATTTTGCTATTTATAAAGATAATTAAAATGTTGACGAGAATTTTTTAAGGGGCACACCTAGTGTGAGTGACTAAAAAAACGTCGATTTTTAGGAATTTTTTTCAGGGAAATTATTGCAACTAATTTTTTTTAAAGTTTTGTACATGTATATTTGTATAAATAGTAAACATTTTGTAATTTTTTCAAAGAAAAATATCTTTTTTTTAAAGAGTTATTCGCTATATAAAAAAAAAACAGTTTTCCCACTGCTGCAGTTACTGCGGCCTTCTGAGTGCCTGAAATAAAAAAAAACCAAAAAGATTATTAAACTAGAAGATATTTGCCGTACAATGAGGCTCCAGTTTTTTGATTGGATGAAAAATAAAATTTTGGGATGCCAAAAACCATCGGATTTTTTTGGCGAAATTTAAAAGCTTTTTTCAAAACTCCGCCATTTTGTTGCAATTCAATATTTTTTGACATCCGAGGGTCATTGTACGGCAAATATCTTCTAGTTTAATAATCTTTTTGGTTTTTTTGATTTAGGTCAGTCAGAAGGCCGCAATCACTGCAGCAGTGGGAGAACTTTTTTTTCGGATACTCAGGAGATAGCGAATAACTTTTTAAAAAAAAGATATTTTTCTTTAAAAAAATTACAAAATGTTCACTATTTATACAAATATACAAATATACATGTACAAAACTTTAAAAAAAATTAGATGCAATAATTTCCCTGAAAAAAATTCCTGAAAATCACAATTTTTTTCAGTCACTCACACTAGGTGTGCCCCTTAAACATTTTTGAATATAATTAAATTTCTGGAGAGAAGTTTAATATTTATTAAGATAATTGAATTGTTTCAAATAATTGCGTTAAAATTTTTAAAATTGAAATTAAAGTTTTTTAAAAAAAGACACAAAAATTCAGAATTTTCTTATTATTTCTAAAAATTTAATTTTTTTCTAGTAATTTTAATAAAAATCCCTGACTTTTTCCTGATTTCCCTGACCTGTGGCAACCCTGAACAATTAAAATTTTTATTAACGACGAGAAGAAGAGGGGGGGAAAGTGGGGGTAATGTCCTGCTTTGTCAACTAAGACATGGTCACCCTAGTAATTTACTAAAATCAAATAATTTTTAATTGAGTCAATTAAATGGTTCAATTCATATTTGCGTGCATTGAAATGAATTAAATAAAAATTTTTTGAATTAAGTGAATTAAAAATTTTCTATAAAACAGAGTTCTATTTTATTCTCTGCGGATGTGAAGAAAATCTCTTTACCACTTATAGATGAAATCACAATTCTCTGTTAATAAAACAGAACACGACTTTACCCTACAATGATAAAAAAAATTCTTTATCTCACGTAAATTCTTCAGATTTCTCCCTTATTATTAGAATTTTGAGTCTCGGTGGTTAATTTCAAAAGGTTCAGAGTAAAAGTTCCCCGTTTCCGCGGGTCGTGCAAGGTACAAGTGCAGTTGCAAGTATGTATTTTGTGCTCAGTCGCGGTACAACTCGTGGTTAGGTGTGTTTCATCTTGTTTTACTATTATCCACAGTGATAAGTGATAAGAATTCATTTGATTTAATAAAATTTCTATTAGAGGATTGAAGAGAGAAATTTTTTTTTTCAAATTGAATGAGAGTTTTTTAATTGATCTTTTTTTGAATGAAATGAGACGACCGCTTATAAGACATTTATCTGAAGGTGGTGGTGGTGCCGGTAGCGATAAAAACAGACGACAATCAATTAAACAACCAAATGACGATGATCGTGGTTATAATTGGAATTTGCGTAATTATCGACATCACGTCTCGTCCTGTGATCTCCTTAAAGTGCCATCGACAAATCATCGTGGCCGCATTTCTCCAGAACCACGGTTAACAGTGACGTCCGTTACCACGAGAAGCATCAACAACAGGTTGGTACTTAATCCGAGTGTCACGAACCCAACGAGGTTGCGATTGTTTTGTTCTTCTTCTTTCTCCCCCTCTTCTCCTCCTTCTCCTTTTTCCTCTTCCTATTATAATGTTCAAGTGGAGTTGAAATTGATAGTCTAAGAGCTGGCTACATAAAAATGCATGTTATAAGGTACACGAAAGATTAATATTTAGATAGGTTCCATTTGAGTCCCCGAGTACCGAATGCGAAGTCTGCCTGCGCGTTCTGGACGATTAAGCCTGCGAACTGACGGTCGAAAATTACAAATTTGATAAGGAAACAATATGATAAAGGTCATGGATAAAAGTTATAAAATTTAAAAGTATTTATCACCAGTAAGCTTATAAAATTTTGGCAGACAATTTTCTGGACGACAAAGGATTGACAGACAGTGTCAAAGTTGCGTTATCTGCACGGAGAAAAATGGATAGTTAAAAGTAGATATAGTTAGAAAATATATAATCAAATTTATTATCTGTATAGTCAGAAATATTATCTTCCTGTAATATTATAATTATATTCCCGTTTAGTATATCTAGATAATAAAATTTATTTTCCTGGGATAGTCAACTTGCCGAGCGCTTGCGCAGAAGTTTGATTACCGATCACATGCAAGAAAAACGGCACTGCCTGTTTCAAATGACGTGAAATTGGTAAACATTCATTTTCTAACAAATTTTTCTCTGTTCACAGGCACTTTTTACAGAATCTGACAACGTACATTTGTCACCAATGTTTTTAATTGTCTGAATTCAAAAGATTTTGTTAATCCATGCAGAAACGCTGTTGCAGGATTGGAAATAAAAAAGTAATGTAATGGCAGGCCACAAGACGTATGTTACAGCCATTTTGACAGTAGAGGGCAGAAGCATGCAGGGGGCGTAAAGGCTCAGCTGTCAAAATGATTCGCATTACATTGCTATGGTAATTCCAATGCTGCAACCGCATTTCTACATGGATTGACAAAATCTTTTCAATTCAGACAATTAAAAACATTTGTGACAAATGTACGTTGTCAGATTTCGTAAAAAGTGCCTGTGAACAGAGGGAAATTTGTTAGAAAATGAATGTTTACCAATTACACGTCATTTAAACCGGTCAGTGCCGTATTTGTTGAGTGATAACTGTTGGTCGCACATTATCGAGAAATTTAAGAGACCATCGAACACCGTTAAGTAGTTTTATATTATTCGAAATTTAAAAGCATTGTCAAGTTTTTTTATACTGAATTTCAGATATAATATTGCTTAAAAAATATTGTTAAAAAATATATAAAACTTACAATTAGCAACATAACCTTTAAACCTGTCAAAAGAATTTAAACATTTCAAGGGTATCGTTAAATTAATGTATTTTGTTCTTTAAAATTTTCAGATTTTCCATTTGACAAAGATTAAAAATGTTGTAAAAATGTTTAGAAAAAACATAGAGGTTTTTATTTTTAAAATTACTTTAAAATTAATGTTTTCTAATCGTATTTTAAACATTTAATTTATTATATTATTAATAATAATACATAATTTTTAGGAGGGGATGAAATAACCATGTTTACATAAAAAAAATTGTTAAAATAAATTAACAACATATAGCTGTCGCTAGTAGATTGCCACCACATTGCCTAAGTTAAGGCGCTGTCTCTTGTGGCGTATGAGTGACGCGGCAGGGACTTTTTAAAAATTAAATAACTTTATTATTTTTAAACAAATTTATTTGAAATTTTCAGAAAAACTTCGTTGAATAATATAGAACAACTTTCTCACTGGCAGTTTGTTCAACTCAAAACTTCCCTCGATACTTTTTCTCATCGAAAATAAGATAACCTCATTGCTGACAGGTCATTGTTTATAATAAAAAACAATTAAACAAAAAATAATTTTAAAATATTTTATGACTTTTTCTTTTTCAGCAGACCCGAATGAGTATGTACATAAAATTCCGAGCCAATTCATTAACATTTTGTATGCAAAAAGACCGTTTGTATTTTAAAACTTAATTAAATTTCTAAACACAAATTTTTTAGTTTTTATTTTTTAATATGAGAAATATTAGCTCTACAAAAAAAAAATTCATTAAGAAGAAAGATGTATTTTTTTATTATCTACAAGATGCCGTTCTTTAAAAACCAAAATTTTGAGTTTTCATTTTTCTCACTTTCGACCCGACTGACTGGCTTCTCAGCATTTCAGCCGAGCGTAAATCGAGTTATTTGATTGACCTCCTCAATTCAATATTTTTTATAATCTTTATATTAAACTCTTTTTGTAAATTGCTCTTCGGAAATGTTTTTTTTTCAGATCGGTTACGCAACGTGCTTTTTATTCTTTTTTTTGTTTGGAAATTTACATTTCAACCTATTTTTAGTTAACAGTGAACTTTATGTTTGGTTCAATTTTAGATTTTCTGGTTTATTTATACAATTCAAATTAAAAAGTTAAAATCGTAAAGAATTTTAACTTTTAATTTGAACTTCAATAAATTTAATTTTATAATTTTAATAAATTTTATTCTTTCAATCTTAAAATTTTAATTCTATAATTTTAATTCTTTAAAGTTTTAATTTTAGAATCTCAATTTTAGGATTTAAACTTTTCAATTATAATTCTAATAACTTTAATTTTATAATTTCAATTTTATATAGTTTCTAACTTTGTAGTTTGATTTAAAAAATTTTTTTAAATTTAGAAATTATTTTATTTTTTATAATGTTACTAACGTAATAATAAGTGAATTTTTTTTAATTAAAAAGATAACACTTCTAGTTGAAAAATGTTATCATTTATAGCATATCTTTTATAATTTTGAATATGAAACAATTTAATTCTTGCACATAAATTTATTACAATTTTTTTGAAAAATTCATTATCAACAATAATTAAATTCTCATAATGAATTTACAATATTTTTAAAAATAATTGAATTCCTACAAAAAATTTTATTATTTTTGAAAATAATTCAATTTTTCTGAAGAATTTTATTAACATTTTTAAAAATAATTGAATTCCTACAAAGAATTTTATTAATTGTAATAATAATTGAATTCTTGTGAAGAATTTTATAACAGTTTTTGAAAATAATTGAATTCCTGAAAAAAATGTTATTGTTTTGAAAAATAATTAAATATTTCTGAAGAATATTATTACAATTTATGTAAATAATTGAATTCTTAGGAAGAATTTTATGAAAATAATTGAATTCCTGTGAAAAATTCTAATATTTTTGTAAATAATATTGGATTCTTCCAAAGAATTTTAAAAGAACATTTTTTTAAATAGGTAATTGATTTTTTTCGAGGAATTGAAATTAAATTTCTAAGAATAACATTTAATTATTAATAATTTCAATTAATAATTGAATTGAAAGAATAAGTAATTGAATTTTTTCAATGAATTTTATCAGAATTTTTGAAAATAATTGAATTTTTTAAAGAAATTTTAATAAAATTGAATTAAAATAATTGCTTTCCTGCGAAAAATGAATTATTTTTACGAAAATGTTTGAATTCTTGCAAAGAACGTTAATAAATTTTTTAAATAATTGAAGTTTTGCAAAAAATGTTATTAAAAATTTTAAAAGAAATTAAATTAAATTCTTTTGAGAAATTTTAATAAACTTATACTATACGTAAATGAAAGCCTGTTAAGAATTTTATAAATATTGTGAACTGAATTAAAAACTTTCGAAGAGTTTTTATTAAAAATTGTATTGAAAAGAAATTCATATTTGAAAATGAACATTTTTTTTATTTTGCCTTAATTTTTATGTTTAATTTTATACTTTTAATATTTTTAGCTATTATAAATTTAAACTTTTTAATTTAATAATTTATAAATGTATTGAAATTTAATGCAAAATTAAAATATATAATTTGCTGAAAAATAAAAGCGGAAAAGTGGAACAGGAAGAAATTCAGAAAAGTTTAAATTTGTTTGCGCACATGAGTAATGTTTGAAATTTTAAAATAATACAAGTCGTGATTGCAGCACTTGTATCACCGAAAAAAATACCCAGGACCCGTATACCAGGAATTGACTAGGTTTCCTAGTTACGAGAGGAGCCAACTATAGAATCCTGGTCAAAGTAATAAGATTCAAGCATAGTTAAAGTGACCAGGAAAATTACCCAGGCGCGAAAGACCAATGCTGACGATGGATTGAAGATTTATTGAGCCTTGAACGCCCAGCCTGGGTAACCCAGTGTTGAAGCAGTCTTTATACCACTGTCACTCAATGTTGATTCAGCATTGGACACCAATGTTCGTTCCATGCTCGATTCAAGACTCGGTCAATCTTCGTGAGTGAAGCTCGAACATCTGATCTTAATTCAAGCCTGAATCAATCTTGACAGTTTATTTATTGACGTGTGCACTTAAAAATATTAAATATAAATATTTATAAATTAATTAATATTAAAATATTTTTTATGATAATTTTGTATACTATTTAAAAATTATTATTAATTATTATTATCAAGATATCAATTGGTAAATAAATATTAATATTTATTTAGTGTATAATATTTATATTAATTATTAATTTATTAATAATAATGATTATTATTATTATTATTATTATTATAAAAAAATATTAAATTAAAAAAAAATATTAAATATTATTATTATTATTATTATTATTATTATAATTATTATTATTAATTATATAAGATTTATATAAATAAAGTTAAATTATACATTATTATTTTTTTCTTGCACAGTGTCAAATAATTGTTTTCAAAGTTCAAGAGTTTCGTTTGTCTGAAAAATTTTTAGTGAAAAAAATGTTCATTAGGGTGTAATAAATATTTATGCCTAGTAGTTTTACACTAGGATTAACTGTTTAGTAAATATGTATTATCAAAAAACTATTTTTTGTCAAACGCGTGCGATTAAACACAAATAACCTTGAGACTTTAGCATTGCCAACTCAAGAGTTTAACGTATGTGTTGAGTTGGTAATGCTGGAGTTTCAAGGTTATTTGTGTTTAGTCGCGCGCGTTTGACAAAAAATAGTTTTTTGATAATATTTACTAAACAGTTAATCCTAGTGTAAAACTACTAAGCATAAATATTTATTACTACCTAATGAACATTTTTTTCACTAATAATTTTTCAGATAAACGAAACTCTTAAACTTTGAAAATAATAATTTGACACTGTGCGAGAAAAAAAATAATATATAATTTAACTTATAAAATTATCATAAAAAATATTTTAATAATAAATAATTTATAAATATTGATATTTAATATTGTTCAGTGCACACGGTAATAAAGAAAGTGAATATTGTATCAAGATTGACCGAGTCTTGAATCGAACATGGGACGAACATTGGTGTCCCATGCTGAACAAATATTGAGTGACGGTGACGCGCCGTATATACAGAATATATGGCGCTGGCATTGAAATAGTAGATTAGGCGAGGTGCCTTCCAGCCTTCTGTGGCCGAGCGGTTTAAATGCGTGCGTTTAGGACTTCCGGTATGCGTTAGGGGCGGGGTGCGTGAGTTCGATCCCACATGCGAGCGAATATTTTTCATTCTTTGTTTTAAGCGTTATATCTAATAATAAAATTGTGTGTTGTGTTGTGAATAAAAAATGTGAATATGTTTGTAAATAATATTAAAAAGTCTGCTGAAAAATCGAGAAAAAAATGTACCGATTAACAGAAAAATAGTTTTCTTTTACTAAAATTATTTTTTTAATATTACTATTTCAAATGACATTTATTGTTAGTAATATATTATTTATATGATAATAATATAATTATTATAATAGTAACTTAATGCCATTAAATTAACAAACGCATATAATATGAATAAAAATAATAACAATAATATTCATTACTATTATAATTATAATTATTACTATTATTATTATTATTATTATATACAATTCATATATCCATATTATATTGAATGAGCGCGAGAGACGCCTAAATTTGGGAACAGTGGAAGCAGCCTTGTTTCAGTCCTGCATTAGGGTTCCGCAGCATTGATTGAACATTGAACGCCAATCTACAACAAAGACTGGAGCGTCAGTCTTAAATAAGTGTTACATTATAGCTAGAAGCAACCTTCGTTCCGCCGTCCCACCAAGGCTTGATCAATGTTGACCAAGCCTGAGGCTGAGTCCACAACAACTGAAAAGAATCGTCTTGAAGACGATTCTTAGGACGAAACGATGCGCGCGCAACTATTGCCAACTGTGAATAATAAATTCATTTTCCGTGTTCCATGTTTCGCTATTCCTGACAGTTCAACTTGTTTACATAAAACAACAAGAATAAGAAAATAACCTAAAACACAAAGTGTCAACGATTGTTTCCATCAGTTTATTTTTTGTTCTCCGTTTATTGCATAAACATGTTGGTGCTTTTTAATATAATATTAATAAGTTATCAATGGATGCGGCTTCTTTATCTGCTTGATAAATTATTAAAGAAAAAGGAATTTATTCGCCGATGGCATGTAAAACCCCACATCACTAATATGATGAGAGACACACATGGTGCATACGAAGCTCTCTTTTTGTATTTCGCTAATTGTCATGAGGAAGAATTTTATAAAATGTGCCGCATGAATGTTAGAACATTTCAAAAACTCCATAACCTTGTTGGACCTCGTTTGCAGAAAAAAAGTCGTCGACGTCCATTGTCAACTGAGTTAAGATTGGCGCTATATTTAAAGTAAGTGTAAACCCAATACTCTAAAAATTTTAATTTTTTAATAAATTGTAGTTTTTAAGTAATAATTTTTTAAATTAATTACATTACATATAATTTAATGTATTAAAGGGCTTATTGTTCCATATGTAAAGAATAATCAATAAGTTAAAACCGACTAAAGGAAAGAGTAAATTATTTTTCAAAACTAATAAAAATTGTAAAATTATAAAGAAAGGAAAAAATAATTAAAGTACGAAGAGAGTAAAATAATTTTACAGCAAGATTAATAAAAATAAAAAAAACATGTAAAACTTAAATAATAAATAATATACTAATAAATTAATAGTAATCAAAAAATAATTTAAATATGTCTTTATCAAATACAAATTAAATTTTCAATATAAATTATAGTTACTTAGGACATGGAGACAGCAATTTCTCAACAGCAAATTTTTTTCGGGTAGGCAGAAGCACAGTCTATGGAATAATTCATGAAGTTTCTCGAGTTATTTGGGATGTACTGTCTCCAATTTATTTAAACTGGAAATCCGAAGAAGAATGGAAAATTGTAGCTGAGGGATTCAGAGTAAAGTGGGATTTTCCGAACTGTGTAGGAGCCTTGGACGGCAAGGAGATAAGAATAAAGGCTCCTCCACATTCAGGGAGTCTCTATTTTAATTATAAGCGTTTTTACAGCTTTAAATTGATGGCTATTTGCGACGCTTTTTTACGTTTCACGTGGATAGATATAGGCGATTATGGTAAGAATTTTAAAAAACAAGAAATTATTAATTTAAATATTCCACATCCAAATTTCTACATTTTACTTGACTCAAACCTCTTATACATCACACTTACAATATTCAAATCAGTTTCTAAAACCCACTTTCCTCATTTTATTTTCTACAATTCGCTTTCCACACTTTCCTTTATTCAATACAGTTTCCAGACACTGCTTTTCACATTCTACAAATTGCCTTTTATTTTCTTCTTAACTGCTATCGTTGTTGTATATAGGAAACAAAAAAATTAATTCATGAGAGAAAGTAAATTCAGAAAACTACAAATATTAAAGTCTAAAAAGGGACGATAGTAACATGACCGTTTTAATCTGTTCCTTTTTGTAAAATGTTACTTTATAAGTTGTCTAATTTTTTACAGGTTCACTTAGTGATGCTTCTTCATTTCGTAATTCATCCTTATATCAGGCTCTGGAAGAACATGACGCTGGTCTTCCGAGAGAGAATATTTTACCGCGCACAAATATCTCTCTACCATTCTTTTTTGTGGGAGATCCCATTTTTGCATTGAAAACATATTTAATGAAGCCTTATCCTCGTGCAAATGGTCTAACAAATGAACAGCATGTATTTAACAACAGGTAATGTACAAAACTTACATTTTTAACATCAGAAGTAGAAAGTAAAAATGATTATATCGACAGGGTTGTCGCAAAAATTTAATTTTGTTTTTCCCTGATTTTCAGATAGAATTTTGATTTTCTCCCTGACCTTAAAGAATATTGAAATTCAATCTAAAAATTATACACAAAAAAATGTTCTATTAAATTTATTTATGAATTTCTATAATTATAAAATTATTCAAAAACACTAATAACTTCATTTTTAAATAAATATTTAATCATTATTATTGTTTTCTAGAAAGTAGGATTTATTTTAATTACTTCGAAATTATTTTCTTCATTTAAATTCAAAAATAAATAATTAATTCAATAATTGAATGTTTCTTAAAATTCAATTTTTACGAAGAATTTTATTGACAGCTGTTAAAATTATTTAATTTCTTTTAAGGAATTTAATTAAAATTTTACTAAAATTTATTATATTAAATAATTTTATAACAATTTTTGAAAATAATTGAAAACATTCTAAAAAATTTTATTAAAACTCCTTAAAATAATTGATTATAAAAATTTTGAGGCTTTTCCCTGATTTTCCTGACCTGTGTCAATTCTTATCTATAACGTTTTCAATTTGCTACATAGTAGTTGTAATATATTTTAACTATTTAAAAGAAATATAAGAAGGGGTTTACTTTTCTTAAATTTACATGTAAATCAATTTATTTTAAATCCCTCAGACAAAGCAAAAATTATAAAATTATTGCTAATGAAATAAAAATTCGTATAGTGACCTTCGATTTAAAAATTTTTGTAGATTATCAAGAGCCAGACAATGCATAGAAGTGAGCTTCGGAAGAATATGTTCAAAATTTCAAATCTTGGAAGATCGACTCGACTTCAAAGTAGATACATCAGTTGAAATAGTCAAAGCAATTATATGTTTGCACAATCTAATTATCACCGAAGAAATGAATGCAATGGAATATGATGAACCTGTCATAAACGCACCAAATGTCGTAGATTTTGAAGGGGAAGAAGATATGGAGGCAAATGATGATGCTGTCAGGCAGAGAGAAATATTAAGAGAATATTTTACGTCCGGAGAGGGTCAAATATTGTAAAAATATTACATTTAATAAAAATTTTTGCGATTTCTTTTAAATATTTTATTTTGTTTAATTTTATTAAAAAAATTGTATTGATTGAGATAATATAACGTCTTTATCTATACAAATAATTTTTCAAAATTTAGATTTTTTTATCACTAATGTAAATATATGAAACATTTAATTATCAATTTCTTCATTTATGACTTTAATTAAAGCATCGCAACATTTCACATGATTTTTTTTATCAATTTTCATCCAGGCTTCTTTTAGTACTGTCAGGTATTGTGTGGTAATGTCTGTAAATGAATTTGTGTCCTCTTTACTAGTTGTCATCGATGTGGAAGCATTGTCATTCTCTAAAACAAAGATGAAAAAATCATTCTATAAACATTTTAAATTTACATTTTTAAAACTTGTAATATAATATTTAAGTAAAGCATGTTAAAAAAGGATAAACTTTCAATTTCTAGGAAAAAATTATTATTACGAATTTTGTTCAAAATTGTTGCAAAAATCATTAGGAAATCGCTAGAATTTGTTTAGAATTCGTTCGGAAAATATTTTTCAAAAATTTTCAATAATATTCACCTGGATAGACAAAGTTTTTTCAAAATAAAAAAGATTTTAGATTATAATTTTAAGAAATGTTAGAAAAGGGAAGAGCCATAAACCAACCTTCATCGTCGAAATAATCAGATGAACTACTTCCATCAGAAGCACTTTCAATATATGAGTCATCGGCATTTTTGTCTGGTGACCTTTTTCTTGAGAAATTTGTGCACGTCCTACAATATATAAAATAAATATGCTATTACAGAGAGATAATAAAAAGGACTTAATATGTGTATAAAAACTTAGCTGCAAAATTGGTGATTATATTGATTTTTTTATGCCATATTAATTAAAGAATTTGTAGGTGATTTTTGTGTTATTTTTCCTTTAGTCGGCAATTTTTCTAAATTCGGAATCGAAATTTTGATAGAATTTTACTTTTATTTTAAAATTTTATTTTAGTACATCAGAAATAAAATTTAGTAGAAATTTAAAAAAGTTACTTTAAATATGGTAAAATTTTCTCGAAAAATATAAAAATTTTCAAGGTAATAGCTACAACGTTTTTCGAAGAAAATTTCTTCAAAAAAAATCTTAAAATTCGAAAATACAATTTCAAAAGATATTTACGTTTCAAGAAAATGAAATTTTTTGAATATTTTAAAAAGTAAAAATTATCTTTTTTAATGTGGTACAATGAAAACTGATCTGTTAAATATTCATCCAAAATTAGTATTAATACTATTGATATATTTTTATACATATGGAAACAACAATAGAAGTAGTTATTTTTCTATAATTTTAAATAAATTTGTTTGTTTGTTTTGTTTTAATGGCCTCTTGTATGAACAAATAGCCAGTTCGAAAAATAATTTGAAATTGACTGAAAAAAATACGATGTAAATAATTTTAATCATCAATTTTAAATAAGGAAACCGTTAGAATATGAAAAATATTAAATATATTTTCTCATCTTTTATATCTTTGATTGCAACACGTTTCGAAGATAGGTTTTTGAGAAAGTAAAAGTTTTGTTTATGCTATTTTTACTTTAAGTAACATTTCTGTTTAATTATATACGATAATAAAATCGGGTTTTATTTATTACTTTTTACTTATATAACTACCTATATTGACAGTTGATCTCCTTTTGCATTTTCATTCCAAAAATTACAAACATAACCTAACATTTATTGCTTCTGAAGAAGCTTTCTTTACAGCGTGCGGCAGATATTAATACAAGACATAAATTATAATTACTCACTACATTGCAATTAATAGCGTTTATACTTACTTCTTATTTCCAACTATTCCGTAAAGGAAATTTAATTCGTCAAAATAGATCCATTGTTCCAGTTCTGGCTGTCTACCAGATCCAGAAGGGATGTATTTTTTCTTCAATGCAAGCCTATCTTTATAACCTTTTTTTAACTTTTTCCACGTATTGACAACATCCTTCTCTGAAAATTTCAAAATTTCTTATTTTTGTTTCACTTTATTATTTGTTGTATGAACTCACTTGTAGCTTCACAACCGCATGACCTATTATAATCCCTGCTGGAAGTAAATAGATAGAAACCTTTTCTCTTTTAATCCCTTTCTATTGCTAACATAGAAAGAGATATGACTATTGTATAACTTTTAATCTCTTACCTATACTTCTTTATGCCTTTCTATTTCTACCTTTATCAACTTGTTCGCTATTTCTTTTAATCACCTTTTTTGAATAACTTTTAATAGCTTTTTTAAACCCTTCTATCTCTTTTTATATACAATCTTATTACAACTTTTTGTTATCCCTTTCAATCACCTTTTCTCTATTACTTTTAAAATCCTGTCTATTTCCTTGTATCTCTTTTAATGTTAGACTTTATAGACACTATTCTTTACACCTATTAATAACCTATTCTCAATACCTTTCAATAACCTGCCTATAAACTTTTATCTCTTTTTATGACAGAAGTTGTTGATAATCTTCTTTGTCCGCATTTATAACCTTTTCTTAATAACTATTGATATCCTATTTATACCTTTCCATCGCTTTTTATGTAGGATCTTATTGACATTTATTCCCATTATTAAGATAGAAAAAGATAGAAATGCGAGACTGCAAAACTATAAACTTTTTCTATTCCTTTTTATCGTTCTTCTTTTCCGAATGGTATTCTTTTTATCTTCTTTCAATCCCATATTCTATCTCCTTACTTCATTTAGAAGAGATAGGGATAGACAAGAATATGGGGATTTGAGAAGATATAATAAGTTTATCTCTTCTAATCCACTATAGTATATCTCTTTCTATATACATACTCATAAAGTTATACGCGCATGCGTCGATCTTCCCAGCTGTTATGTGTCATGGCGTCGGGTCAGTAGATCCGTAGATCAGAAAGCGTGTGTTATGCACTGTGCGATTTTACGTTTTTGTTTGAGTTTAACTTTCATATTTTTGTAGTTTATTGTAAATATATTTAACCAATAAATGCTTATCAGTAATAGACAACCAAAATTAGTTTTAAACTCACACAGCACCGAAACTTTTCTAAAAATATATTAAAGATTTACTTGAAAATTTTTTATAGTTAATCGTAATGAATTAGAACAACAGGATTAAGAAACTCACTTAACAACAATAGAGAAAGTTTTCAATTGAAATTAATCGATTTCTTTTATAAGGAATATCTCTTTTTTTACTTTCCTCTGGATTAAAAAGGATGTGAAAATGGATAGAGAAAGATAGAAATGTATGAATAGAAATAGATAGAAAAGTTCTATCTTCTTTAATTTACCATTTTGCATCCCCAATTTTTTATCTCTTTCTATATATTTTTTTCTATATATTTCTATATCTGAAACTGTATATAAAGAGATTAGAAGGGATAAAAAGAGATATAAATATAAGGTTATAGAAAGAGATAAACAATTTGTATCTCTTTTAAGTATCCATTTTGCATCTCCAAACTATTATACCTTTTAATCTTTTTTTATCCCCTTTTTTTAATCTCTTTGTATCTCTTTACTTCCAGCAGGGATCATTAAGTATTTCTTTCCATGCCTGCTTTCGTTTAAAATTGTCTCTGTATGACGATAATTTCTGATTGTAAATGTTGGGATATTTCTCAACTAGCCTAATTAGTTGGCAATTATTATTATAATTACTGTCAGTATCCATTGTAGATGAATTATAACAAAATTTTTTAGATCGGAAGAAATATTATTTTTTATAAAAAAAAATTCTATGGTACTTAAAAATGACAACAGATTGACAATACGTTTATAGAGAATCGTCTCAAAAGCAATTTATAAGGCCAATGCACAATACTTTCGCAAACGAGATGCGTGAGGCAGGAAAGGACACAACTATATCTCTGTCCTTTTTTAATTCATGCCGTTCGCGAATTAACAGACTTTTAGGGTCTTATTGGAGAAAGACCTTTAGAAGGAAAAGAGTCTGGCGCCTGCGTGCATATGCTTCAAATGGAGTGACAGAGAAAGACAATTTAAGTAAAAGAGAGACAGGAAATTCAAATAACTTTGTTGCCTGTTTCTGAAGTCCGATCTTTTCATAGAAGCACATGGTAGTACATGCCGGTAGCTGCAAATTCGCTTTTATAATTAACGGCAGGTGTATCAAGTTTTATACAATGCAGAATACAGAAAATAGTGACACTGCGTTGTTGGAAATAGTTAAACTGAATCCATGTCTGTATGACAGAAATCATCAGGTTTTTTATACAAAAGTAGGCCTGAAAGATGCATGGTTGCAGGTGAAAGAGCAATTGAATCTCCGGGGATACCCAATTGACGGTAAGATAAATCACTTATATACTCTTTCACGTCTGATTTACAATGTACTTAGTAATATAATTTTACTATAATATGTTTCATTGAAGAAAATAAATATTCTAGCAACTTTCGCGAATTTATTTTTTAATTGTCATTTAATTAATTTTCTTATGTACCAAATGTTAACACTTTTTGCTTTCCTGTTTTGAAGCTTACTTTTACTGACATCTAAAGAAAAGTTATAATTTTATTATAACATATACTACTTAAAACAAAAATATTGTAACACGCGCTTTAAAGAAAGGTTCCTAAGAAAAGCAGACAATTTATAGGTTATATTCATATTAGATTTAAATTGATTAGGAATTTTATTCCACTTATGTAAATTTGAAAAAAAAATTTATTGACTATTTTGAATATAATGGAGACTTGAGCATCAATGATTTGTGATACTTATTGGTTCTCTTTCTTTGGTATTTTATTACAAAAATTATAAACACAACCTAAAATTTTTACTTCTTAAGTACCTATTTTTGAGCGCGTAACAAAGTAATTGAAATGAATGTCTAATTTTTATTTACAGATCCCGAAAAAAGATTCCATCAATTGAGGACTTATTTTATGAGGCACTACCGGGAAAAAAACTGTGGCTGGAAATACTACAGCAAAATGACGTTTCTTATAGGTCATTTTAAATCGTAAGAAATACTCCCAATTATTAATTATTATTCACTTGAATAATAGTAGTTCTTAATATCTGTTTCTAAATAAATTAAAGTTTCAACGAATATATATATATATATATATATATATATATATAGAAATTATATATATATTCTTTATATATTATATGTATAAAGAAATTATATATATATATATATAATTTCTTCACTCATATTTGTTTCAGCACTGTCGACTGTAAAACGAAGGAGACCACATTTACTCAACCAGCAAATAGTACGACATTGTCTGCAGAATCTGTCATGGGACAATTACAAAAAGGTAAATACATTTATTTACATTTAATAGAAATTTTATTTAAATACGAGATTCTATAACTATGAGACTAATTTCTTCTAATAATGTTGCTTTAGGAAAAAGCCTAATTGATCCATCTTTGTTTCTAATACCAAGAGCACCGAATGATGCAAATGGATATCCAAATAATGTTGGAAATCAAAGAAGTTTTGCACTTCAGAACAATTTTGCAGCTTCTAACACATTCACCGTTTCCAGCAAGTCGTTGAATGAAATATCTTCGCATGAAAGAGGAAAAGGTTATTAATTTGTAATATTACAATTATTTTAATATATCATTATAGATGGTATTCAAGGGTTTAAGTAACAAGTAATAAAATTCTTCTGTTCAATAGAAGAAGATACATAAGCGCCATTGTATCATAACGTATGATATAAGTGACAAAGACGCATATGTATCTTCTTTATTTGGATTGGACAAAAGAATTATCTGATTGCTTAAAACTAAATACCAATGCTGAAACGAGAATAAATTAACAAAATAATATTCTAATAACCTTAATTATAGCTATAAAGTAATACAAGGAGACTTTAATTAAAAGAATAATAAAATAGAAAAAGTGAAGCAGATTTTAATGATTATTAAATTTCAAAGATTGCGTTTTTTGTAGTGATTTTTCAACTGACACTAAATATTTAACTTTTTTAGATATTATTTTCTAGTTGTCATGAAACTAAAATTATTTATTTAAATATTATTGTTTGCTACGATTTTTCTATTGAAAATAAATATTTGAGTTTCCCAGGCATTTATTTTGGACCTATGCACTGGAATAAATTCAGTTTTTCATTTTTAAATTAAAGTTTTTTAACTTAGTTTCTTATTTCTTTCCTTATTTATAGTTTCTCAAGTTCTTTCATATTTTAATAGTTATTTTTTTGCAACAATTCGAGAACAAAAAAGAGAAGCCCATAGCCCACGTCGAAAAATTCTATGGAAGTACCCCCCTGGAAATTCTGCAAGTTTTATATTTTAATATAATTAAATTCTCCTATAAAATTCAAATATTTCCCAAATCTACTGTTTTAATTAAATTTCTTAATTAAATTCAAATATTTTAAAAAATGTAATAAAATGCATTGCAAGAATTCAATTATTTTCATAAATAATAAAATTCTTGACAGGATTTCAATTATTTAAAAAAATTTAATAAAATTCGTTTGCAAGAATTGAACTATTTTATTAAATTATAAAATTCTTCACAGGATTTTAATTGTTTCTAATACAATTTTAAGAAAATTCTATAAAAAATGTAATTATTTTCAAAAATATTCAAAATCCAATTATTTCTTAAAATTCATGACATATTACTTTTAATATTCAATTATTATCTAAAATTTTAACTGAAATTCATTTTTAAATAAATTTTTATTAGAAAATTCTACTAGAATTCAATTGTTTAAATACAAAAATAAATAATTTATTGACTAATTGAATGTTTTTTAAAATTTAATTCTTATAAAGAATTATATCAACAAATTTTTAAATAATTACATTTTTTTGACGAATTTGAATAAAATCTTCAAGAATAATTAAATTTTTCGAGGAATTCGATTAAAATTTTATTAAAAATAATTGAAATTCTATGTTAAAGTTTTATCATTCATGAAAATATTGAATCTCTGTAAAAAATGTTATTATTCTTTAAAGTAATGTAATGTTTACTTTAAATTTTATCAACAATTTTTTTTAAATAATTGAAATTAGAACTGTGCAAAATAATTCGAACCGAACTGTTCGAATATTTTCGCCCAGTTCCAATGTCGAATTTTCGACCTTTCGGCGCTCCGAAACCAAACAAAACTCAGTTCGAATTTTGGACAACTCTAATTGAAATCTTTTGAAAAATTTTATTATAAGATAGTATATATTAAAAATGATTAAATTGACGAAATTTTTTTAAATTAATTGAAATTTTGCCAAGAATTTTATTAAAATTTTTGAATATACAATTTTTTCCAGTACTTTAATAAAAATCCCTGACTTTTCCATAATTTTCTTGACCTATGACAAACCTGGAAATGTTAAAATATTTGTAAAATAAAAAATTTGCAGAATTTCCATGGAAATTCCATGGAAATGTTTCATGGAATTTATGGAATTTCCATGGGGTACTTCCAAGGAATTTTTCGACGTGGGAGCTATTTTGGTGAATTTTCTTTTGTGTAGGTCATAAAAATTATACAGTATGTAAATGTGATAAGAAAATTGAAATCTATAAGTTTTGACTCTTTTATAATTTAATTAATATTGTTGTATATCTTTCCTAAATATTAGAAATAACTTTAAAGCATTTTTCTTTTTGTAGGAACAGATGATCCAAACAATCGCCCAATGAAAATTGGAGTAGCTTCTCTAAATAGTCCAGTATTTTCAAATGTATTTTCAAGCACGACTCTTGGTAATAGGTTCACAGGACAAATAGTAGATGCAGGTATGTATTTCGCAATAAATTCTATATCAGTCTTCTATTAACAATGGAATTTACGAATCCATACTGTTTCACTATAAAATTATAATAGTTATAAACATATAAAGCTAAAATATAATAATGTCCACTTAATAACCGGTGAGATCTTTCATTAGTACATTATATTATTTAACTATAAATTAAGTACTTTATTTATAACTCTTGCTTTGAAACTAGGAAATATTCCTTCGACCAGCTCTACTAGGACATCTATTCCAATGACTTTAATTCATTCACCTTCGCTGACGTTATTACCAATCGAAATGTCTGGATTAGAAAATGGAGAAAGAGGTTTTAATATTGTTTAATATAATTAAATTTTTATTTGATTTGAATTTATCGACACATTTTATTACATAAAATGTTTTTTAGGGTCAGAACAAAATAATGAAACCTCATTTTCAAACATACATACTCCTGATAATCCCACTATTTCATCTGAGTTTGAAGATTGGGAGGAAAAATATCCAACACTTGAATATGAAGGGCTTGAATTTCCAGATGAAGTTATAGAATTATCGGACGATGATTTACCTGCTGACGATGCTATTCACCAAAACACTTCTGCACAATTTTCGAATTTAAATGAAACTTCCAGAGACAGTGGTAGAGATAATTCTGAAATCATAAGAAGACGCACTATAGATGTTTTTAGAAGCAGTAGTGAGATAGACTCTAATTCTCTCCATGAAATGCGTAAATACAGATCCAAGAACGAAAACAGAAAAAGATCTTTTGATGTTGTTAGCAACGCTAGCTATGGAGACACCAATAATTTTCATGAAATTCAAGAACAAATTAGAAACGATATCGAAATAAAAAGAAGCAGATTCTTGGATGGTTTTAGAAGCGCTAACGATATGGACTCCAATTCTCTCCCTGAAATTACCGAAAACGGTGGTAGTTACGATACCGAAATTCAAAACAGATCTTTAGATATTTCCAATCTTAATATAGAAGAAGCTAATTCGAATTTATTTTTAACTGAGGAAAACCATTTGACGTCCGAAAATAATGAAAATGATCTTGCGTTAGTTGCACGTCAGATGTTACCTGTGCAAAACCAAATAGAAATCAATTCAGATTTGTCACGTTCCATTTCTTCAATTAATGTTCCTCGTAATTTTCCTGTTAATGTAGCCAAGAAACAATCTCCGAATCCAGTTAATATATCTTTTGAAAATGGCAAATTTTGTCGCGTTTCTGAAATCCGCTCTCGTGAAAAAGAACATGACAGTAAATTCAAAAAAAATAGTGTAAATAGAGTTCCTCCTGATGACGATTTCGCAAACAAAAAGAAAAGAAAAATTGAATCTACGAATAACGCAATTGAAAACGCTTTAGTAAAAACAGCAGATGAGTTACATATACTCACAAGTAATTTAAATGACTATATGAAAATGAAAACGGAATTCATGCGAACTCAAATGCAAGAAAAGAGAAATGATAAGCCAGTTGATTCGTCTGAAATTATTTTTGAGACAATTGGAAATAATTTTAAAAAATTATCATTGTACAAACAAGAACGAGTATTTATTAAAGCACTGCGTATAATCGAGGAACACACAGTCTTTGAATAAATTTATTGACTCAAATCATTAGATTTATTTCAGTTAAATAAAAGTATATTTGTTTCCGAGTCTAATATATCTTTATTCTATGTTTGTATAAGTACTTAAGTTCGATTTTCTCTGCTTTTACTTAAGTGCTAATTTTTGTACTTCGATTCTTATTATTTTTAAAATTTTAATTTTATATTCAACTTCATCTACACTACAATTACATTGTAGTAATTCTCAATTATTCTACTATTTTATAAAATATATTTTTTAGTTTTAAAGTTTTATATACACGCAAGCACCATTTCGTTTGGAACATTACAATTGTGTTTAAAATAAAGAAACATGTTCGTCTACTTATTATTATATTCCAATATTGTTCTGTCTCAGGGTTACCACGCAACCTGAAAAACCTGGAAATGTCAGGAAATTTTAAAACCCTTGAAAAAACCTGGAAAAGTCAGGGAATTTTGATCGGAATCCTGGAAAATTGTTTTCTAAATAAGTTATTCTCAAGAATGTAATTATTTTCAATACAATTTTAATTAAATTTTTTGAAATAATTTATTTATTTTCAAAAGTTCTTAATAAAAGACTTCAAAACAAATCAATTCTTCTTAAAAATTTTAATACAATTATTTCAAGAATTCAATTATTTGCAAAAATTGTTACAAAATACTTATCAAGAATTTATTTATCTTAGAAATAACAAAATTCTTTACAGAAATTCAAATATTTTCCAAAAATTTAATAAAATTCTTCTCAAGAATTCAATCATTTTACAATACAATTTTAATTAAATTATATGAAATAATTTAATTATTTTTAAAAGTTCTAAAAAAAATTCTGTAAAATAAATCAATTATTCTTAAAAATTTTAATAAAATTATTCCAACAATTCAATTGTTTGCAAAAGTTATAACAAAATTCTTATCAAGAATTCAATTATCTTCAAAATAACAAAAATTTTTGCAAAAATTACATTATTTTCAAAAAATGTTATAAAATTCTTTGCAGAAATTCAATTACGGTTAAAACTTTTAAAAAGTTCTCTTCAAAATTACATTTATCTTTATAAATAATAAAATTTTTCTCTAAAACTCAATTATTTTCAAAAATGTTTTAAAAATGTTTATAAATTTTTTGTCAAAATTTCAATTATTTTAAAAGCTTTTCTCAATTCAACCAAATTTTTACAGAGATTTATTATTTTTAATACAATTTTAATTTAATTTCTCGAAAAATGAAATTATTCTGAAAAATGATATTAAAATTCGTCAAAAGAATTTGAAAAATTGGTTGATAAAACTCTTTATGAGAGTTGAATTTAAAAAGCATTTAATACTTCAATAAATTATTTATTTTTGTATTTAAATAATTGAATTCTCGTAGAATTTTCTAATAAAAATTGATTTAAATATGAATTTCAGTTAAAATTTTAGTAAAAATGTTTTTTCTAATTTAAATTAGTGACTGACTTTGCTTTTCAATTAGCAGATTTTACTAATAAAAATAGTCGTTTCTACTAATTTATTAGTATAATTTACTAATTCAAAAGCAAAAAGTTCAAATGTTTGAATTTTACATACTTTTAATTGAAAATTGTGTAGATTTAATTTTTGTTTAAAGTTTAATTGAATTTTTTTTAAGTTATTTGAAGTTTTTATTTTTTTTATTAAAGAATTTCCGAATTATCGATGAAATTTCATAAAATTGAATTGCAAACAAAAGAATTTGAGAATTTTCAAAAAAAATGTTCAAAAATTATTAAGAAGAATTAATTTAAAGAAGAATTTTAGTTAAAAATTTTGGACGCAACAATAACTGAATTAAAATGATGAAAGTAATTTTGAAGAAGTTACAGTAACAATATTCTTATAATATAAAATAATGATTTTATCAGTCGGTCATTTTTAATTAACATGAAGAAATCGATCACTCAAAGTCTTTGACTCGAGAAAAATTGTTTAATTTCAGAAAGGTTTGAATTTGAAATATTTGAAAATCTTAATTCCTATTGAAAAATTATTATGACTAATTATTAAATTTTGTAACATATTAAACGTAGTTTTAAAGACCTGGAAAAATTCCGTTTTTTAACCTGGAAAACGTGGAAGAGTTTGGGAATTTGAAGTGAGCAAAACCGTGGCAACTCTGTGTCTGCTATTTATTATTATATTCCAATATTTAAAATATTAGCATATTCAACTTTAATATTTAGTAATTAAAATTATTTAGAAATTTTTACAATAATTAAAACAACATAAAGATACATTATTATTGAAAAATTAAAAATAACCCAAAGAATTGCTAATTTTAGTATAATAAAATAATTACAATAAGCAATTTACTAATATCAAAAGCAGTAATTTAAAATTTAACTAAATTTATGTATAACAGTTTAAATTAGCATCTTTATAAAAATATTGTATCAATTAAGATTCAAAATTGTTTCTTCATACATTTTTAAATAAATAAAAAATCTTTAATAGTAAACAATAATAAAAACTTTCCTAAAAGTTACTCTAATTAAATATAATTACTCAATTATTAGTTGTTCAATTTAGAAAAAAATTTTAATATTTAGACTCATCTATAAGAATTTCAACATTTTAGAGAATATTAAATATCTTTAATTAAAAAAGTTGTTTATTTAATTCGCAGTGTCGTTATAAAAATTTTATTTTGTATTTTCTGATATTTCACTGATTTCTAAATTTAATTAATCAAAACATGAATAATTTCGCTAAATAAATATTTAAATACTTTTTGTTTGTTTTTATATGAGAATAACATTTTCAAAAATTCTATTTAAAACTTTCTGAAATTCAATAACTTCTTAAAATTACAACTTTAATTCACTTCAAATTCAATTATTTTCTACAATTTTTAACCAAACTTCTTCTCGAAAACAGTTGTTTTTAATAATTTTCCAAAAGTTCTTATAAAATTCATTTAAATATTAAAATTCAGTTTTTATAATGATTGTAACTGTCCATTTTTCTTATATTATTAATTAATTTTCAAAAAATTATAATAAAGAAATATTTAAAAATATTTATTTGATTTATTTGATTTAAATAATTTTTTTCAGTGTACATATTTGTATTTTCATTTAAAAGAAGTATTTTTTTAAATCTAAATAATGCAATGTAAACAAGTTGAACTGTCAGGAATAGCGAAACATGGAACACGGAAAATGAATTTATTATTCACAGTTGGCAATAGTTGCGCGCGCATCGTTTCGTCCTAAGAATCGTCTTCAAGACGATTCTTTTCAGTTGTTGTGGACTCAGCCTCAACGAAGGTTCCGTAAAGCCTGAATCCAGCGTCAGTTCTCGCCTGGGTAGTCGATGTAATCAGGAAAAAATAGTCAAATTGACTAGGAGAATAATATTAGATTTACACTGTGTATCATAATTATTTGAAATTGCTAATCAAATTCTTATTATCAAATAAAAGAGAAAAACTAATTAAAAGAAAAAATAATAATTAATTATTGTATTTGAACATATTTATATTTGACTTTGTATTTATATTCCTTGCAATTAATTTAAACTTATGAAATAAATATTTGACGCAGGGGGGACGCGAACACCTGAACCTAACGAATACGCACTTTGAAACCCGGAACGATAACCACAACACTAAACACGACTTGGTATTTTAATTTTTTAATAGACACTAGATTTTCGAGTCAAAATACAATACTTAATCAGATGATGTTTTATACATTTCGAGTACACAATTTTATACACTTGTCAAAAACTATTTATTTTTAATTATTTATGACATTCAAATGAAAATAAATTTAAATACACAAATTATTGCAAAGGTAAATTTTCAAACACACTGCGCGATTAAAATAGTAGAAATGTTGTCACCACGTGCGTAAAAATTTCGACGATTTATATTGAAACCTAACCAAAAAAGTCTGAAAGAATTGACTAATATAATTAAATAGTTTACTTTCTAAAACATGGACTATCTATATTTCCAGAGGTTCCGAGAAACCAGCAATTTTGATGTATGTAAGAACTCCATTTCATGTACAAAGAATAGACGCGAGTAATGATAAAAAATGGTTTTACGAAATCACGATAAATGACGCGAAAGATATAGAGGTAAACACTGTCAGAACAGAAGCAGACGCGTGCGCATTATGGAAATAGGCAAAATTACTAAAAATCCTAGTCAATTTGACTAGGATTTGCAGGGTTGTTTTTGCCAGGCTTGAATTTGTTGAATCAACCTAGCGATCCTAACCATAATAATTAGGAATCCTTATTACTTTTACTAGATTAAGATTAACTATATAGAGTCATAGTTAATAATACCATCGAGATTTTTTTCTGTGATATAATGCATAATTTTTCATAAATACTACATTTCATCCCGTGTAGAAAAATTGTTGGGTTCTAGTGTGGTGCCAGAAAGACAGTCTATTCTCTAAGTGGGCGCTGAAAAGACTGTCTGACCATGGGCTAATCAGACCAGTGACGATCGAACCACGCGTTGGTCCAGACTGGACGAGCTAATCAGGGCTAATGAGCAGTACTAATATTTCAAATTTTAGGTTCGATTTCAATATTTCAGTTTTTTAATTTTAAATAATTTACCCAAATTTACTCGGTTCTCACGTTTATTCAATGTAATGTGAAAATATGAATTATTAATAATAAATAAATATTATTGTTATTCATATATATGTGTGTATATGTATTTAATGACAATAACTTATTATTATAATAATTATATTATTTTCAAATAAATAATATACTGCACTAGCAGTAAATATTATTTAAAAAAGTAATATTGAAAGATAATTTTAATAAAAAAACAATCTGCGTTAATTGGTACATTTTTTAAATTCATTCTTTAAAAGGCCTTTAACATTATTTACAAACATGTTTATAATTTTAATTTATAACACTTATACAGATTAAATATAGTAATTTTATTATTTTATATAACACTTACAATGAAAAATATCCGCTCGCATGAGGGATCGAACTCACGCC